GATCACTCTGATCTCAGTTCAGCTGTTTCACATCAGTTCATGTTCCTGAAAACAAAGATCCAGATGAATCAGACATCCGATGTTTAGTTTCAGACGGTCAAACAGCAGCTGAGGAACAACACCACACTGCACATTCAAACTGCAATAATCAATAACTCTGTACACGTTATGACTGTACACTGCTGCCCACATCAACAGTTTGTAGTTACATTCAACAGTCATTCATCATTAACTCAGCACTAACGTGGCTAACTGAAGCTTTGCTTTGACTCCACCTTCATGACATCACTTCCTTCAACACATGTCATTCACAGAAAACAGTCTGGGTACTTTTCATCATGCTAATATGTCTCCTCGTGTCTTAATCCCGCCTGCAGGAAATGCAAGCAGAGGACGGAAGGAAGCAGGCCCCCAGGAAGTGCGCCAGGCTTTAAAGCCAGTTTTGGTAGTGGCGAAACAGTGGTATGGTGATCACCTGCATCTGTTATGTGATGTCATTTTTTGAGCATCACAACCCCAATATAATGACTCATTCCACTATCAGGATTCAGTCCATTTAGTCTGATAACATTTGAAAATCTAAAAGAGCTGCAAAATTAAATTATTTTATCCCAGTTCAGGTAAGCAGAGCGCTAAACTGGAAGTTTTCTGCTCAGCCACGCTCGATGGCCATAAGTCTTAAGTCTTTGAAGTTCTCTGATGGTACGAAAATTCCTTCCTGCAGAACCTGCAGAGAACGGTGCTCCTATCAACAGATCAATCTGGACGTTTTTTAAATGTAAATGTTCCATTCACATTCTCGAGTCACATTTGGTCCATTCAGAATGGACCCACGATCCACTTTTGGACTATGACCCACCAGTTGGGAACCACTGCTTTGCACAAAGTGGGTGCTCTGAGAATAAACTGTCAATAAGGAGTCATATGGGTGTGCAGCATTATACCTCATGGAACACAAAACACAACTTGACGTGACCCACTGAGGGCCTCCGTTGTCACGCCACTTGATAAAAGACTTCTATGTAGGATACACTGATGTTTCCTCATTCTGAGCTCCTCCAGAAGCCTCCTCTCTCCTCATCTCCTTGATGTGCATTTAAGAGATTGGAAGATCTTCCATCATGGCGGAGGGGAACGATTTCCAGGTCACGGGAGCAGAGAGGAGGACGAGGAAGCATAAGCTAGTATAATGAAAAGCACCCTGTGAAGTCAGAAGCTCCAGTCATCTCTGATTTTCTGCCTTCAAAGAGAATTCGTCACTTTGACGGAACTAAAACACAGAAAAATATTTGAAGTCCAACTTCCTCCACACATTCATCTGAACAACTTCAATATATTCAACACAACAGAACTGATTACAGAGATGTTCTGACATACTCTAGTTCCTGTACCCTGGCAGATAAACACTGGAAATGTTCTTGTATTATCTCTGATTGGTTCTCTGACCTGGATACATGTGAAGCTAAACACGTCTGCAATCAATTATTTTGTATTATCAGTTTGACATTAAAGAGTTCTGCTGATCAGCATCAAATTAATCCACTGATAATTAATAAAAAATGATGGAGGAGCATTCTTTATATGGGCGCTGTATTTTCTAATCTCACAAACACACGTGTACATATGTGTCATTTTTACAGCAGGTTAAAGACTCCTTGTTAACATTCTGATCAATTGTTATTGTCTTCTGATCAATATTTCTCTATTGCTAATATTTCTTCACAGCTAAAAGATAAAAATTCACGTAAGCAACAACATCAGATTGTTTAAAAAATATTAACAATCCTAAACCTGAAACAATCCTGGAAAAACATTTTCAAAGAAATCACTCTGTCTGAAGGGACGACAATTTTAACAAGAATCTTATCTGACATTTACAAACTGCAGGCAAAGCTCCGCCCCCGACCTCCGATAAACTCCGCCCACTAACACCTGGACTCTGACCAGGTCAGGGTTAAACCTTATTCATGAGGCTCATGAGAATCCATTTAGAGTTTTCTTTGATGACTATGTGTTGACTTAGTGTTGACTGAGTGTTGACTTAGTGTTGACTGAGTGTTGACTTAGTGTTGGCTGAGTGTTGACTTAGTGTTGACTTAGTGTTGGCTGAGTGTTGACTTAGTGTTGGCTGAGTGTTGACTTAGTGTTGACTTAGTGTTGACTTAGTGTTGGCTGAGTGTTGACTTAGTGTTGGCTGAGTGTTGGCAGAGTGTTGACTTAGTGTTGACTTAGTGTTGGCTGAGTGTTGACTTAGTGTTGACTTAGTGTTGGCTGAGTGTTGACTTAGTGTTG